TCTAATTTCAGAGAGAGAGATGCGACCTGACCACGCGTGAAGTACATTGACATCATCGGCCAAAAGACATTGAAGAGATGAAGGAAATAATTGAAAGCTTTAAACAGACCAAATCAAATTTGTCAGCAAAGGACGTTACATGACTGGCAACCAGATGTAAACAAGCTAAAGATATTAGAATTTTTTTATATCTCTCAGAAAAATTACAATGCTGAAGGACTTTTACCCCGCCTAGTAATTGTTCTCGCTCGATATAAAATTTCACTAACAACAGGAGAAAGCAATGAGATTTATAATTTACTGATATTAATAGTCTCAAAAACAAGATATGCGTTTCATGTGTAATATATTGCTCGGTCATGATGTCAGAAGGTAACACCTTAGAATAATTATTTTTAAGGCTCTCCATAAGTGAAGTGACAATTATAATTGTGGAACGATTTTCTCAGTGATTAAAAGAGAATTTTCCACAATATAATTACAGATGATAGTATGCATACTATGCTTTTACAAGGTGATTTTAACAATTGTAAATAAGATAGTATGTATGCTATCATCTATAATGATATTATGGGAGCTTCTCTTTTAATCACTGAGAAAATCGTTCCATAAAAAATGATTGTCACTTCACTTATGGCGAGCCTTAATTGTTGGAAGGTGTTAGACTCAGAAAACAGAGCGGATGTAACACACAACATCTTTTATTGGCGTTTTCTGACAAACTTCTTCGATAGGAATAATCTTAATTTTCGAGTTATTCGTTCGAAAAGGAGATCTCAAGTCGATCCTGCAAAAGTCCAAGAATACATCTAGAAGATCAACAGATAGTTGTGAATTGTTATTTTGCCGAAGTCAATCAAAAGCTTGCTGGAAGTTTTGGTAGATGTGAATACAAAGCAAGAAATAGTAAATTTTATCCAAATATCATACAATCCAAGTAATTCCTTTAATACAATTTTGGCCGAATTCTTAAGGAAGTTTGATATTTCCTAAAATGCTGAACTAAAACCTGGGGGAGGTTAGAAAATTTCCGAAAAAAAATCTGACATTAGAAAATTTCCGATTTTTTTTAATAATCAATCATAATTCTGTCAATATGTATTATTCAAGGTTCATACTACAGTAACTGATGAAGTTGGCTATGTTCTATCTTATTATGTTATTATTTTTGAAATTTGCATGTGTTGTAACTTAATGCAATTTAATGCGCTACAATTTCATGTGTTTTAAACTAAATACTTATACCAAATTTCACTATTTATTGAATATAATTATGTGTTAATGTCGAATATAATGTAATATCAAGATTGAAAATCAAGATATTTGCATTTTTTAAAAAAGTGTGTAAATCAAATTAACACTATTATATCGTATTTGGATATGTATGTCTCTTATGGTAATGATAACAGAATTGAGTATTAATCAATATTGGATGTGTTATTATCAATTTTTTCAGAAAAAAATATACATTTATATGGGATAAATCAGATGCTAGAATTTCTTTGGTTTTAGTGGTTATCAAGCCAGGCATATATTTAATATATACAGTATTAGATATATTAATGTTTTATCAATATTAGACTTTCAATTATTATGTAAATAAAAATTTTGTTCATAGAAGCTTTTTGATGTTATTAAAATTTTAAGAATTTCAATGAAATTATTAAAATTGTTAATGCACGTAATGGTAGAAAAGTATGATGAATGTTATTAGTTATAGAGATGGCAAAATAATATACTATGGAGATTAAATGTACTTTAGTATTTGTTGAGTTATTAGCACATCAAATGTAAAAAAGTGACGTTTTCCCGAGAAAACCTTGATGCTACGAATTTTATGATTATCAGCTCTATTCTTAATTTTGCATAATAGATAAATATATAACTATTAGTAATATTATGTGGTATATTCAGATAGACGCAATATTAACTATCAAAAAATTTCGTATGTGGAGCACATCAAAAGCATTCAATTTTTATTATATCTTGTGAGGGTGATGTGTTATGAGCTTATAATATATATGAATAATATCTATATATATGTGCAAATATGCTATAAAAGATTGAGGCTTGTTGAATGAGTTTTGAGGTGTGATTAAAATGCAATCAGCACATTACACATAAGCTTATATTATCTGAGTGTATTTTGAATATGTTGAGTAAGATATTTTATTTTGTGATGTGTTTTATGAGTTTGAGCTATTTTTTGAGAAAATATAATTTATATCGAAAAAAAAGTTTGTCTGTTTGTACTCATTTTGTTATATTTATCTTATATTAATATATACTTTTTATTTATATAATAAAAGATATGGATTTACTATTTATTTTTTGAGATTCTATGATAAAAAAGGTGACATTTTCCCGAGGGAATTTTGATCGAGTGAATTTTGCGTGTGAGTGTGATGAGATTGAGATCACAGTTGAATATAATATATCACTATATATAATAGTATGCTATCATATGCTATAAGTGTGTAGGCTTAATATCCACAGAGATATAAATGTATTTTTGTGATTAAAAAAGACGATTATCGGGGGTCAAAAAACGATTATTGTGCGTTATGTGAGTGAGCTATATATATGAAGTATATGTATGAAATATAGGAAACATTATATAGTATAACATATTATATAGCGCCGTTCTGGACAGCACCACCTGGTGCTGTGGAACGTGCACAACGAAAAAGTACAAAGGAGTGATTTGATGCCGATATAAATGGTCTTACCCCCATATTCTCATATATAAGGATTCATAATATATTATTTGTTTAGAGTTATGTGGAAATTTTGCATAATATCATGAGATTCGCTCAAACTCAAATTTCGCTCATTCATATATAGGATGATTACGAATATTATATACTATCATATCACACAACTTAAATAGAGAGTAATATATTATTCGTTGAGATATTAGCATAAAAATCTATTTTTACATGACGAAATCTTCAACGGAGCAAAATCGTGTGTATCACATCGATAACAAAGAGCACATTTGTATATGTTTAAACACATCCTCATATATATATCATTCATAGCATATATCTATCAAACACACTCACATATAGAGATATTAATGAAAATCTCATTCCACGCGCATCATTTTTCCATTATATTTTCCGTAAAATGCGGTGTAAACTACACAATTCCCCGCTTGGGACGGAAAGAATTGTGTAGCCTCACACACTCACCATACACAATTGACTTTTATATAAAACGAAGGCACACACTAATATAAATTTATTTATTACAAAATTTGTGATTTGACGTTTAATATCTCATATCGAGATTCCGGATATCAGAAACAATCTTTGATTTTATATTGCACTACATATATCCATAGTATATTCGTTATAATTCTCATCAAAATATTATGAAAACACACTTTTTGGCCTGAAATTTAAAAACATACTTAAAAACTCAGCTTTTCACAATTAGGAGATAGGAATAATATTTTATATTGGATGTAAATATAAAATATGTGTTTTTCATGAAAATTTGTTTTAGATAATTTGCATCAGATTAAAAATTTTGGATTCACTCATATTTGTTGTATACACATAATATACTCATATAATATATTATTGTTAGAATACTTTTATTAAAATTTATTAAAATATTTAACAATCTTTTAAAAAATAATGGAAATTGAGAGCTTATACTATAATATAGTCATATATATGGGAAAATAAATATAGCGGTTGTGAAAATATGTGGTTTAAAACAAATTTAAAAAATCTCACATATATAACTTTAATGACTTCTCAGATTTATGTGTAATATAAAAATATGCTTTCTATGTATTCTTTATGTCATTGGCAAACTTGTACTTTTTGATTTTTAAGCTCATCTAAAAACCTTGCCGTCCCAAGCGAGAGGAATTATGAAATTTTCTCGCTGGGGACGGCAAGTTTTTAGATGAGCTTAAAAGATCTTTCTCCTCTATTATGCTATATACAGAATCAAAAGATTCGAGGATAAAAATATGCTTGTGATAAAATTTAGGATGTGTGCTTTAATTTCAATTATGGAGATTCGTGATGAGATGCAAAATTCTGTCTTTGAGATACGTATGATATTTATATATGATATATATTATAATGATCGTTCAAATATTGTCTAATTTAACATTTTTTAGCATAAAATTTGAAATTGTATAAAAAATACTAATATTTTGTCATTTTTATAAGTGTAAATATGAAGTACAGATTGATTATATTGTTTTTATAGTATTATCTCGAAAATGTTTGGTTATAAGATCATAGTTATAAAAAAATTGTGACTAATAAGGCTCATGAGTTTACAAATATTATATACTCTGACTATGTTTATAAGATATATATAACAGAGTTCAATATTCAAAAATTAGTGTGAATATAATTTTATTAGAAGAATAATGAGGGAAATCATATATGTGATTTATGTTTCTATGAGAAAATATGAGATATGAGACTATATTTTTCAGAATTTAAACAAAATTGCAAATATCTTTAACATTATTTTATTAAAATTAACCTATTCTTATTTATTATCTCTTCAAATTCTTTAATACCATATATGTACCGATCCAAAATTTTTCTATTTTGATAATTATATATATAAATTCATACTTTTAATAAATATTTTTAAAATTTCGAATTTTATTTAGAAATTATTATTAGTGAAATAAGCAATGATTATTAGAAATATGTATAAAGTGGGTTGGAATATTTTAGTATTTACTAAATTAAGCTCATTTTTTAAATTACAATTTTGTTTTCTAAGATGTCTTAATGAAAAACAGATTTGTCTGATCACAAGCACTTAAGACTTTTATAACAATAGAAATGTGTTTATGATATTGAAATAGTCAAATTACAATTTTTTTTTCTAAGATGTCTTATATCACTATAATGTTTTATTGTTTCCATTCAAACTATAATTACAATTCTATACAAAATCCAATGAATATAAAAATAACCTTTAATTCAACCAAAATAAAAAAATAATATAATAAATTAGTCATCTTCCGACAAAGGTCTTTCCAAATCATCTTCATCAAATTTTGGTAAAGCCTGACTTAAATTTCTCACTCTGTTTAATCTCTTTTCGCATTTTTCAGCAATAATTTCAAGTTTGTTCTTCTGTATTTCCTTTTTTGGACGTATGATCCAACTATCGTCATCATCGCTATCAACATTATTCTTTTTGGGCATAGCAGGGTTGGAAATTTCTTTGAAATTTTGAACTTCTTCAACTTCTTTGTAAACGTCGCTTTCAGACGATATAGGTTCCTCGTCATTGTCTGATTCAGATTTGTCTGTAGTACTTTTCTCGTTTGGAGCATTTGAAATTTTTTTATTTTCAAAAGTCTCGGATTCTGAACTTATTGGTGTCTCAAAAGATCCATCTGATAATTCTGGAATAGGATATGGACTCTTTTTACCTTTAGCCTTTACCTCGAAATCATCATCAGAATCATCTGAGAGAGGTTCATCTGTAACTTCTGAATTTGAACTGCTGTGGTCTGAATTTGAATGAGCCTTCTCAATTTTGCTTGTTTTGCGAGTAATTTTCGAAAATTTTTCACCAAGATCACCATTAGGCTTTTGTATGTTCTTTTTTCTTGTAAGACAACGATTACTTCTTTGTTTTGGAAATTTGGTTCGGTTAATTTTCGTGATTCCCTTTTGTTCGATTGAGAATAAATTCTCGGTGAGTAATGTTTTATCGAATTTGTAATTTGATGGATTTGCCATTGATTTGATCACTTGATTAACCACTTTATTCTGGTCATTTGGGATTTCATTGAGAATCTTCTCATCATTTTGAGAAAACTCACCTGTTTCTGGTGTAAAGTCGATTGAATTCTCGTTTACTTGATTTGACTGTTGAAATTCTTTAAGTTTGATTTGATTTTTCTTGGAATTTCGATTTGTTTCGGATAAATAATTTGTAATTGCTTTTTTAATATTTGCTGTGGACTTTGTATAATTGACAGGATGTTTTGCTGGTTTTGTACTGAGTAATTGTTTATCCAACAAGTGTTTATCGACTTTCATTAAGATTGCAATCATTATTTCGAGGCTAGGATGGGCATTTTCTAATTCTTTCGAAAGCAAAGAATGGAAGGATTCAAGAGCATTATTTGTGTAGATATCATCCTCTGAATCTAATTGGTTAATGAACTCATAATCTTTCTTCCATACTTTTTTATAGTAATTTACGAACGGCTTTGCAATTTCTGAGGATGACTCATCGATTAATTTAAGTATTTGATAAAATGAGTCTTTTTCGACGAAAGGTAATGAGGAATAAATTTGGTAAAGTGTAAAAATCTCTTTTGGTATCTCTTGTTTCGGGTATAATTCTTTTATTTTGCGAATTAATGCTTGGCGATAATGAAATAAGCAGCCAGTAACCTTTGCGTTTGGACAAAATAATTTAATGGATTTGTAAAGTGCGATTTCAAAATCTACGTAAACAGTTTTGAAATTGTTGAACCCAATTATTGAAATTAATGCGGAAAATGCGGTTGTATACGCTTCTGCTGTCCGAGATTTCATAAGAATGTGGACAACAGGAATGTATTCATTCGTTGTTTGGTCAAGCACCATTAATGTAAGGAGTTGACCCTTGTCATCGAACTGTCTTGGGACGATTTTAAAGGTACCGTCCAAGAATAATTTTGTTGCTGAGTGACAAATTGAGACAGAACGATCATAACCGAAAATTATTATTGGTTCTGGGTAAAACGCGATGTATTTTAGAAAATTTTCGGAATTTTGTTTGGTAATTGAAAGAATTTGTTCCACAAAATCTGGAATAACCAAATTATGTGGATAAAACTCTTTGTATAATGTGCGTGGTAAATTTTCTGGTATTTTTGGAGGCCTTTCAAGTTTTGTTGCCTCAGAAAGTAAATATGATAATATTTGCGCTTCTGAAGTTAACGGTTGTATTGAATGGTGTTCACGTGTAATTTGCATTAGATCCCTAATTTTTGTTTCTTCTTCAATATCTCTAAAAACTGTACCTTTTGGTGTGCATGAATGCTCACCACTGAGAGGTTCGATTTTTGGAATTTGATTTGGGTACAGTGTCACTTTTATTTTGTAATTGCAGCTTCCTTCGCATTTGTAAACGATTGAATATGAATGTTCGGTGCCGGATGAATCAATTTTGTGAAATTTATAGGGAGGACTAATATAATATTGTGTGTAAACGTTTTTATCGCAATCTCTGAGTTGAATTGTGCAAGCACGCTTTAAATAATTCCATACGTGCTTTCTTAAATTTTTTGAATAATTTGGAAAGTGTAAATTTAAAAATTGATTCAGAAATTCATGCTTATTCGTAGCATCTTTTTGATATATGATAGCTGCTCCATTCAATTCATCGATCTGAGGCTGAGAAAAATGAAAAGTACGAGGAGGCATATGATTGTCAAAATTTTATAAGTTATATAATAGTGATCTGCACTATTAAGAGGAGTTTTTTCATTACTATTTTTTTCAGATTTCTTTACTTTTTCTGAAATTTAATTATAATTGGATGTTATACTTCAATTCCTTAGTTGATAATAAAAGAACATAATATATGATCTTTGTTTCATTATTTAATTTTGTTCTATTTCCTTTATTTGACGAGAAAAATGAAAATTGTTTTCGAAAAACTCCAAAAAAATTAGAGAAAACCGAATTTGTCTTGAAAAATTAATGATATTAAGCTCATTTTTGAAATTTTTTAAAAATTTTGGTGATTATTCACAATGTCAAAATTGAAATTTATCTAAGAAGGATGCAAATCTCATAATTTAAGGAAACAATTCATATATTTTGAAGGAGTGGAATAAAATTTTAGGCATTTACGATATTATTTTAGAAATTAAACTGATATATGAGAAAATCTAAATTTAGCAATTCTGTCACTTTTTTAAAATATGGATAATATTCTTCCATTTATTGTGAAAATTCTTTCCCAACCATTCTCTAAAGAAGAATTTAATCAATTTATGGATGCAATCTGGGAGATTAAAGAAGATCAAACTGCTGAGGTCTTATTTCATATATGCAATCAGTTTTCATATCTTCAATTTTTTAATAATTTACCATCAAGTTATATTCAAACGATAATGAATTCGAATTCATTGGATTTTTATGCAATGATCAAAGAATTCTAGACGAATTTATAAATTCCTCATTTCTCAATAACTTTTCGTTTAATTTATTCTACAAATTTGACACTAATATTCAGAATGGAATAATTCAATCGTTTAATTCACAAATAAAAGAAGAATCAGACAAATTCAAAATAATAAATCTAATTATTAACGAAATACCAAAAAATTGCGTGATATCCGAAATACTATTATCATTTATAAATACACACAGGGAGTTTTTGCTTCCATCAAGAGCTGCGGAAATTTTTATAAACGTTATTTCAAATCTTAGTGATGAGACAAGTTACAATGAAGAAAACGTTATTAATATTTACAATATGTTTACGAGAGAATGTGACAAATTACTAATTGAAAATGAAAAATCAATACAAGAAATATTTTCAAACAAACAGGCAATATCAAAGAAAATTCATTTAATGGGTTATACGATTCTCAGGTCAGATTACAAAACGGTTATTTTAGAGCGCCTTTTCGCGGAATTTGGAAATACAAATGCAGATTTGTTAGCTAATCTAATACTCACGAATTGTATTTGGAAAAGCGATATTCTGCAATACGTTTTGGAAAACTTTGAGCCATCTCAAGTAACAAATAAATTACTTTTATTCAGAATTTCCAATAAATTCTCAGTTTCAATGCACACATTAAGTCCATCGTTTTGTAAACAAGATACTCGAGATTTCAATCAAGATTTACTTTACAGACGAAAGTTTGCAAAACGAAAGATTAGAATTCGTTATCAAAACAATTTTAGATACAAAAGAAGAATATTTAGAATACGTACCAAAAGAACTAATTGAAAGATTAAAAATTACAGCAATGAAGATGAAATAAGCAAATTATAATGATATAATTTTTTAATATGAATAAATATTTGAGTGGAAATAAATCATATATAGAATGAGGAACTTGATAAGTGCTTGTGATCAGACAAATCTGTTTTTCATTAAGACATCTTAGAAAAAAATTGTAATTTGACTATTTTGTTGTGCATAGAAATTCGGTTGACTTCACTTTTGACAAAAAGTAACAGGTTTACATGTCAAAAAAGATTTACATGGCAAATTTTGGATTAGGGTTTGTTGTAAAATTATAGTATTATGGGATAATAGAATTTGATTCGAAACAAATAGATATGTAAAAAAATACTTATGGCGTCGAGAAATTTTGGTGAAATGTCGTCGCATTTCACCAAAATTTTCTCGACGCCATAGGAAGAATTGGAGGGTGTGAGAAACTATTTCATGGAATAGTACTCACACCCTCCAATTCCCAGCCAAAATGGCTAAAAATTCATTTAAATTATATATCTCTCTCAATCAAATTCCTAACTTCTTTCTTTATTTTGTAGGCTTTATGATACTTATATAAACCAAGGCCCTCCCATTCTTTAATTCTTTTTATCTAACGAGATATTTGACCTGAAATGTTAAGTTATTCAGACTAACTTTATGAGTTTCTGAGTTGAAACGTATGCTTGGAAGGTATTGACCCTTGGCCCGTATCTCTTACTCAACAAACTTTCGTCTAAAGCTCAATTTTTTTTAATTGCTGCAATTGTCCCATATTCACAAGTATTTGAGATTTTTTCATATTCAAACATGAAACAGTAACATATACTGAATTATACATATTGTGTATTTTAAAAAAAAACGAGAAAAAAATTATAAATTATATAAAAAACTTTTTATTCCAAAATTTGTATATTATCTGGGTTCTACCTCGAAGCCAGGTTCTGGATCCATGGTTTCATTCCATTTGGGCTCTGAGTCCCAAACAGATTTCGGTCTTGGTGACCCTCCGTATAGTTTTTTCAAGGATGTGTGTACCCATTCTTCGTTGTATGATTTGATTGCTGCCGGAATGTGTTCTCTAATTGAAATAAATTCGTTGCACGCTGAGAAAATTGTTTGCCAGAAACGCTCCACTTTGCCATTGAGTTGTGGATTGTACGGCTCTGTTCTGTGGTGTTTTATACCATTTCTTTTGAGTACATCTTGGAAAAGTCTGCCGACAAATTCTGTTCCATTATCAGATAAAACTTCGTATGGAACGATATGAATGTAATCGATTGCGTTTTGTAAAGCTCTCGATGTACTCCCCATTGTTTTGTTCTCTAATATTTCGAAATATATGCAATATCATGAACGGTCATCAATGAACGCGATTAAATAAAATTTGTGAACTCTATCGTTAATAGTTTCTTTAAAACTCTTCAAATCTGTGTGCCACTGCTGATTAACGAATTTTGCGACATATTGATTAGGATGTTTGTCTTCTTTTTCTTTTTCGCGACGGAATTTAAATAGTCCTTCCCTTTCATATATTTTTCGTAAATCGTTATAACTTACATCTTCATCGTGGATGTAACTTTCGAAAAGTTTTTTGTATCCGAGATTAAATTTTGCTTTTTCGGTATGTATGATAGGGACTATGTCTTCCTTGTATGGTTTTTCTTGACCGCCTCTTTTTTAAGTTGCAATCCAAGATTATTCCATTCTTGAATTAATTTTCTACGGCCAATATGGAGGTCCTTGGCAACTTCATCTGCTGTCTTTTTCGATATAATATAATCCATATACGCGATCATATATGGATTTTGTTCTTGTTCATGGTTTTGATCAGCCATTTTTTTCACTTTTTGTGAAGTTATTGATTATTGATTTAAAAAACAATGAAATATCATTTAATATTTTAAAATAAAAATATAATTGTATGGATTAAGTAATTGAAAATTTTATTCAAAATAAAAAAATGATAAATTTAATTTATGTTATATAAATAATATGATTATAATATATTTTAAAAAATTGTAAAGTGTCAAAAATGAGTTCAACCGATTTATTGTGCATTACAGTAATTTGACTATTTCAATATCATAAACACATTTCTATTGTTATAAAAGTCTTAAGTGCTTGTGATCAGACAAATCTGTTTTTCAATAAGACATCTTAGAAAAAAAATTGTAATTTGACTATTTCAATATCATAAACACATTTCTATTGTTATAAAAGTCTTAAGTGCTTGTGATCAGACAAATCTGTTTTTCAATAAGACATCTTAGAAACAAACTTACTTAATTTTTGTTTATTCTATCATTCCCTTACTAAATAAATCTTTAACTTTCCTTCTAGTTATATTTATCTATTCATCATCAATTTATGTTTTTTAACTTTTTTCATATATATTTTTTCTGAATACCTACTGTAATATATTTTTCATTTATTATTTATTCAATTGCTTTTCAATTTATTTTCAAAACCTTATTCAAATTTATTTTATCATTAATATATTTTTATATTATAAATTTATTTAAAACTTATTAAAACATGTTATTACGTTATTAATTTTTACTTTTTCATTTTTATACCCTTTTCAATTTTCTTCTCAAATTTTCAATGCTTCTCAAATATTTCTCCATTCAAATATATCTTTACTAAAAATTTCTTTTTTAAAAATCACAAATTCACTTATATTCTTATACGAATCAATCTGTATCATATTACCAAACTTCACAAACACATCTAACTATTCAAATCATTTCAAATTTAAAATCATATAAATTAATATTATGAATATCCTGTTCTTTTTCCGAATACCCTTTATTCCCACATTTCAATATATCTCTAAGTATGCAATAGTACCGATAAAACATTAATATCCCTGATATTTATAAAAATGTAATATCTGATCTTTTGATGATTATCGGTATCATATATGTTTATTAGTATTACCATATCTATTATTACATACACTAACAGTATATGACATTTACACTTTTATTAAACCAAAATTCAAAAGAATCTTTTTGCAATTTCGTCCAATATGAAATTAAATCCAATGAAACATACACAACATTCTCCTATATCTTCTGTAGTTGCATATTATATATTCAAACGATTTTTAAATAATGTTTCTATCAAATGTGTAGTGATTCCGTCCCGATTAAAAATTGAGTACTTTCATCCCGATTTATCGGGATAAAATTGAATACTTTTATCCCGATTTCCCGATCAATTCCGATGCCGCCTGGACACACGCATTCATATTCAATCGTTTACAAATGCGAAGGAAGCTGCAATTACAAAATAAAAGTGACACTGTACCCAAATCAAATTCCAAAAATCGAACCTCTCAGTGGTGAGCATTCATGCACACCAAAAGGTACAGTTTTTAGAGATATTGAAGAAGAAACAAAAATTAGGGATCTAATGCAAATTACACGTGAACACCATTCAATACAACCATTAACTTCAG